ACCTGTGGACACGAATGTCGTCCGAAAACCTACCATTCAAAGACGCTCGAGGCCTTCTGTTCGCAACAGAAAGTCTTCTGGTCCTTGATGTCCAACGTTCAGGTCCATTAACACCCCATTTAACACACAACAAATCCTCCTATAAATAGCTGGCGGGTGGTTTGCAACAACACACAACGCACAATACATTCCTCACGAATTTCTTAAGCTAAAAACACCTACAACTACTCTGCAAATTCCTTCTGTGTTCATACTTGGTTCTTGTTCGCTGGAACTCTTGTTTGTGTGCTGAAACATTAGTTCGTAGTCATTTTATTTTATTTAATTAATTTATTTTAATTAATTTCCTTTATTTTCCGAAACACACCCAACAGAAACGACGATTTGATCCCTTTCAACGATTTCAATAAGCAAAAACGTCATTTGGTGAATAGTTGTTCGGTCCTAATGTTTTAAAACGGACAAGCTAAAATGAAAACACAACAAATAAGAGAGTACATTTTGGGTTAACATTTTGAAACATAGCGTTTTCTTCCAATTACTATGGTCAAACAGTTAAATTATCAAACATCTTTTGATAACCCGCCAACTTATTCCACTTTCAAACACACCGACTAAATCCGCTATTGACAATCCACTAACATAATCCTCTATCCGTTAACCGCTAACCGCTAAATCCCAAACACGCCCTATAAATCACATGAACTATTTACATATTTCTTTCATCCCGTAAAATTCTTCTCGGTTTGACTTGGATTGAAGTTTAAACAAGTGGTAATAAAGTGAAAATGTAATATTGTGATTGAGTAAGAAAAAAATATATGAATGTTAGCCACACAAAACTTTACAAAAAGGGAAATTGGAAAAATTTATTGGGACGTTCCAAAATGGTAAGTGGAAAAAATGTCAAACTGTTTTAATTTAACTAATGATTTGCAGTTACAACCAGTTAATAATTCAAAATCCATGCAAGGGCAACCGAACAAGCAAATATGCAAGGGCGCTACACTCACATGCTTAGGTCTGGTGATAAAAATGCTAATGTTGCTAGATCGTCGCCCATAAGTGGTGTGCCACCCCATTGTTCGGGGATGGTGTCAAATATGCAAGGGCACAATGAGGGTTGATGTGTGTGTTAAGAATAGAAGGTAGGGTGCTAGATTGCGCTTTTGTACTTGGAATGTTGGATATCTTAGTTTCTCTTCTGTGTTGGTTAGTTTGGAGTTCTTAGGTGATGAGCTTCCTTAAAAGGAGATGCACATTGTTGGTATGAGTAGTACTATCACTGTTCTAAAAATCGCTCTAGGTGCTAGGCAGTGGTCGGACGCCCCAATTTTTGGCTAGACGCTCCGACTAATTGATTCGGCGCCTAGATGAACTTGTCGACCGCCTAGCGCTTAATTGGCCGCCTTGGTGTCTAGATTCATCAAACTTTTTTGCCTTTAATTTTAGTATCCTGAGAGCTATATTCTTTGTACCGGCCTAATGCACCGGCTCTGTCCCTGACTACTAGTGAGTAAGTGAGTAGGTATAATATATTATTAAATGTGACAACTCTATCAGTCACGCATGTTAATGTCTGTACATATTCTTTATACACACACAAACACAACATTACTAATCATATTTATGCAAAAATATTGGTAAAACTACCATTTTTTATGTCTCCGACGAGTCTCTGTCTAGCAGCTTGCCTAGCCACCTAGGCGATGGGCTGGCGCATGACTAGTGCCTAGCCCCCTTTAGAATATTGAGTACTATTAATCCTTTTAAATTAATTTCAAGTGTTACACCACCTTTTCCAAGAGGGTAGCCGGCTCGAGTCAGGCTACAACATCCTCCCGTCGAGCGGTCTCCGCAATGCTGTTCACCCACAAATCCCGAGAGTTTATAGCCTCTCTATAATAGGATCTGGCTGTGTGGGGGTCCGTATGAGCTACGTCGACCCTTGTCTCTACGTGGAACTTGATGCAGGAGTGTCGTACGGAAGCTATGACTTCCAAGTCCTCCAACCTCGGGCGCCCGAAGATGGCATTGTGGGCGCACTGCAGGCGGACGACCAAAAATTTCATCTGGATGCCCGCACGATGGGAGTACGTTAGTCTGCTTCTGCACTCACAGCTCACAGCTCACAGCTGAAGGTTTCTTCTCTAATTTCTATTCAAAAATAATTCTCCATCGTCAAATGGGTTTAGCCTTTTGCATAAGTCACTGATTGTGAAATCTGAATTTCAAATTCACACAATTTTAGGCTTTGGTGGGCAAGATCTAAGTTACAGGGGGCAACGAATTTTTTCTATGGGGGGCAAACTCTTGAACTTTTAATATTTGTTAATAAAATTTAAGGGTCTAGTAGTGCTTTATTGGAGGCAGCTGCCCCCCCTACTCTCTTGATAGATCCGCCCCTGATTGGTATCAGTGGCGGACCCACTAAGGGTCCCACGGGATCCCGGGACCCCATGCTCTTCCAAAAAAATACCTATATATATACTATATATATATTTCATTTAAAACTGACTCGTTAAAGTATAGATATACCAAATATTAGAATTGTATCAACGGAACAGGTTAGAGTAGTGGTAGAAAGCTCTGGCGTAGCTTGTGTTTAATCCAAAGGTCCAAGGATCGAATCCATTGAACGCCTGAATATTTTTGCTCCGCCTGTTTTCGTGCTCTTTAATCCGAAGGTCCCACTGTTCAATACTCCATTGACTTTGTGTTAGAAATTCTGCTTATCATTAAACCATTATTATAAATAATTACATTTGTATTATATACATTATAAATGCTGTAAAACAAAATAGCATTTTAAAAAGGTCTTATTATCATAAAACACAATAACCGATTAATATAAATATATTATGTTAGAAGTAATATTCTTCAATTTTTCACATCCAAGATATATATGTCACATAATATTGAATATATTTACTTTTGATCGAACTGAACAGTTTAAACGTTATAGCAAAAGTCGTGAGAATTTTATTGGTTGATATATTTGTAGCTCAAAACACAATTTTTTTTATATTTTGTGTGACTTTTCAGATTGGTTATTTATTTGATTAAGTACGTCTTTAATATACACACTAGTAAACCAATTGTTTTCAACTTTTATTTTTCTTTGATTTATTCTAATGGTAGATGGGTCAATCATTTCAAACTCGATCAACACTATGTTAATTTCACATTAAACTCATATATTCATATCTATAAAATGTGAAAGACGGTTAGAATATTTTTTAATTGGACTGATTTTGGAAAGAAGACTAGACAAAAAATAAATAAAGCAGAACATACTCCATTAGTTTAGACTTTAACAGATTAGGTCAAATCAGATCAAATTTAGATAATACGTAGTAGCAAAATATACACTTACTAGACGTTAACCAGCTCAGGATAAATCAGGTCACACCAAAATTAAAAAAAAAACAAAATTTTACATATGCGATATTAGTGTCATATGAAATATCATAATCTTTTTTTAGTAGTTTGATATTTTTTTTTGGAAAATTCGAACACAAATGAAAGAATTATAACATTTTATAAATTAAAGGTACAATTAGAGTAGGGACCCCGTGACTCCATTTTTCTGGGTCCGCCACTGATTAGTATGCTACATTGCTAGTAGTATAAAACGTTGCAACATTTAAAAATGTTACTCCGTATGTGTTGAGTTTTAGTCCCGTAGATCCGGAAGCCAAAGGTCCCTTTACATGGAAGCAATGCTTCCTATTTCTAGAAGAGGGGTGGGGTTTTACTTTTATGGGCCAACGAGCCGGTTGGGCCTTAATGGGCCTAATTCCTATCCTAGCGGGCCGGTTAGGCCGAAACGGGCTTCATACCGGGTGATGACTTGGGCCTCTGAACAGTAGTAGGCCGAGATAATATTCCCTAAGAGTATGTATTACTCCCTCCGATTCTAAAAGATCTTTACACTTTCCATTTTTAACAGTACCAGAAAGATCTTTACACTTCCTTATTTGCCTTATTTGGCAAATAAATCTACACAAAACAGTGCCAAACAGTGCCAAACAGTATTTATTTCCTTAAAAACTGTGAAGTCAAAGTGTCAAGATATTTTGGAACCGGAGGGAGTATGAATTGATCTTATCTAATCTAATTGCTCGGGTCAAATGCACCAACCCCCTCGTGAAATATAAATTCGGCACATTAGTTCCCTGTGTTTTAAAAAATGCGTCAAACCCCCATGTGTTTTAATTAATCATGCGCAAAATCCCCTTCAAGAACAAATTTAACAATTTTGAAATCAATTTTTTTAATAATATGGTTGAATATGTAAGTAACTTTGTCAAAATTTCTAAATTATACAAAAAAACTAATCATCTTTCATCTTTTCTGAAATTAAATTTGTTCTTGGAGGGGGTTTGTCGCATGATTAATGATAATCCAGGAGGGTTTGACGCATTTTTTAAAATCCATGATAAAATTAGTTCAAATAGGACTAAAAATATGGCAAAAACCTAAAATAGGACTTGCTATGTTTTTATTCCAAAATAGGACCATATGAGTCCTATTGGAAACATACCTATTTTTGCATTCCATTCTTACCCTTCCATTAAATATGAATTAAAAATAGTCAAAAGCCATAATTAAATGTTTAATTCATAATAAATTCGGAAAAAATTCAAAAATTCGTAGAAATATAATTAAAAAATTTATAAAATTTTTATAAAATAAAAAATTCAAAAACCTTTTTTTAAAAAAATAATTTTATTTTAAAAAAAATTCATAAAAAATAGTAAAACTCCGTAAAAAAAATTTAAAAAAATATGGATGCCTTTCCCACCACCTGTACTACCTCCCAGCACCACCACCTCCGGCCGATGAAAAAAATGCCATTTTCTCAGAAAAATGCCATTTTTTTCTGAAAATGCCAAAAAAGTGGCATATTTCTCTTTTCGAATGCCAACATTTTCATTTTTTCTGCCATAAATATGGCATTCATAATGAACTTGGCTATAAATATCCCAGAAAAATGCCATTTTTTTCTGAACTTGCCATTTTTTAGTATTTTTTACGAATTTTTATTATTTTTTATTATTTTATTAGGAATTAAAACATTTTAATAGCTCTAAGGGTATAATTGTCCAAGGTACACATAATTAGTCCTATGCAAACATAGTTTATTTTTTGGTCCTATTTGTGAAAAGTGAATGACTTTTAGTCCTATTTTGATAATTAACTCTTAATGATAATCCACGAGGGTTTGATGTATTAAACCCCTAATTGCTCGTTCAAATAAGTCCACTCTTCTAATGATTTCAAAATACTCCACTCATTTAGCAATGTTGGCTTTTCCATACAGCGGTGATTATCTATCTGTAAACCTCAAAACGCCTTCCCTATACCCCCCCGCGTTTTGCTCAAACTATCTAACCATCCTTTATTCCCGCCGCTCCCTTCACAAACGCATTTCCATCTTCCATTCCCATTTTCTTGAGAACAGTCAATCTGATTCCTACACACGGCGGGGGCGAGAATGGGGAGTGGCAGGACTCGGTGGAAGCTCTCATTCCACAGCTCGTTTCTTAGAAAGCATCTTCTCGCCGTTCCCGACGAGTTCTTGTGTCCCATCTCTCGTTCTCCCATGGCCGACCCTGTCATCGTCTCTTCCGGCCATACCTTCGAGCGCCAGTGCGTTATTGCCTGCAAGTCTCTGTCTTTTATCCCAACACTTTCAGATGGATCCGTCCCCGATTTCTCCACTGTCATCCCCAATATAGCCCTCAGATCTGCCATTCTGAACTGGTGCCGCTCATCTCTTCTGGATTCTCCCAAGCGGATTGATTTTGTTTCGGCCGTGAAGCTCGTCCGTACACTCATGGCCGCTCAAAACCATGAGCCCTACCTCGAGAACAGCGACAATGTTAGCGATTTTGAGGCTCTGAAGGCGCTCAGTGGGTCGCAGTCTGTGGTGGACCGTACGCCTAGTTTATTGTCGACGACGAGTTCTGAGAGATCGGCGGCGGCGGAGACCATAGGGCGTAGTCCTGCACGACCGGCGTGTTTGTCTTCTTCGTCGTCCTCGTCCGATTTGGAAGCCCTGTACTCGAATCATATGGAGGAAGAAGAGTTTGTGGCAAAGCTCAAGAGCTCCCTAGTGTCGGAGCAGGAGGAATCCGCAGCGTCGCTCCGGAAATTGACCCGAACCCGGGAGGGAAAGCGGATCCAACTCTGCACTCCCAGATTACTAGCGGCGCTCCGACCACTCATCACCTCCAGGTACGCCCCCGTCCAGATCAACGCGGTCGCGGCGGTTGTGAACCTCTCCTTAGAGAATCAAAACAAGGTGAGAATCGTGCGGTCAGGAATCGTGCCGCCGTTGATCGTCGTACTTAAAGGAGGCTCCCCTGAATCGCAGGACCACGCCGCCGGTGCGCTCTTCAGCCTAGCCCTAGACGATCATAACAAGACCGCAATAGGTGTTCTCGGAGCTCTGCCTCCGCTCCTCTATTCCCTGCGATCCGAATCTCTACGGACCCGGCACGACTCCGTTCTAGCTCTCTACCATCTCTCTAAAGTCCAAAGCAACCGGGCTAAACTGGTGAAACTCGGGTCGGTCCAAACCCTAATCGATATGGTGAAATCGGGTCACATGACGAGCCGGATCCTCCTGGTTCTGTGTAACCTTGCTAACAGCCCGGAAGGGCGGGCAGCCATGCTGGACGGCGGTGCGGTGGATTGCTTTGTAAACATGCTAAAAGAAGGGGATAGTGAATCGGACTCCATTAGAGAGAGATGTGTTTCTGCATTTTACGGGCTTAGCCATGGCGGGCTGAGGTTTAAGGGGCTAGCTAAGGATGCCGGAGCAGAGGAAGTGTTGGTGAAGTTGGAAGAGACCGGAAGTGAACGGGTCGGGTTGAAGGCTAAGAGGATACTGGAGGTGTTGAGGAAGAAGGAGGATGAAGAGGTGGAAGAGGAGGTGGATTGGGAAAAGCTATTGAACTGTGATGATAAAGACATTAGCCAAACACGGTGTTAGGGTTGATTATGGTTTCTCTTTAATTTTTGCTGTGCTAATTTGATTCATTTGCAAAGAATGAATGACATTTGTAATTATTTTTGGGTTTCTGGCTTCACATAGCTGTAAGCCTGTAAATAAAGTTTTGGTAAGATAGTTTGAACTTTGAAGTGGGTTTTTAAATTAGAAAAACAGGCTCAAGTTGCCAGTTTTGTGCCACTTTCATATTGTTTGATTTGGTTTTCAATTCTCCAAAAGCAAAAAATTATCTGTGTTTAGGAACCTTCATCAAGAAGATGGTTAAAGTGAGAAATTGTGCAATGAATCTGACTTTATTTGGAGGCAAGGTTAGTAAGGGACCAAGAGGATTTTTCTCATCTACAGTTTAGATTGCTTTTTTGTATGCATTATACGTGTGTATATATGCTTTCAGGTGAGATTATATTTTAGCGTAAAGATTATACATCTTGTTTTAGAAAAAAATTTAACTTTGCATCCCATATTTTTTTAATCATCAAAACAGAAGTCTTAAATTGAAATCACAACATTCATATGAGATAAAACAACAAAAGGACCACAGGCAACCGTCAGTCCTCGAACCAGACTTAGAGTCAATAACCTCCTAAAGAAATATAACTCGTTGATCCTATAATTGGCATAGATGAGCCAACGAAGGTTAAAGCAGATCTCTCATCACCCAATCCTAATGCAAAAGTCTTACAACAATAAAAAAAAATAGCAAGCAAACAGTAAAATTAAAATACTCCTTCCAAACCCTAAACTCTCATGCACTCCATGGTCGGAGGAGGACGATCCAACAATACTGTAGCTTCTTCCGCTCCTTGCCTCCGATCCAGATCTGTTCCAGCCCCTAACCCCATGCTTCGTCCATGACCTTTTGTTCCCAACCATGAACGACATCCTCGAAACTCTCCACCTGCTGCTAGGGGTACACAACCTTTGGCTGCCATATAGACGTTGCTGTCTGCCGAAGAAGAGAGCCTCACGAAAGGCGGGCGAAAGCCGCATAAGAAAGCCGCACTTCGTCGAAGATGAAAGCAGAGAAAAACAACCCCTAAACCTAGGGGAGACTGCCGCCTAGAGAGAAGCTCTCACTTTACTTTACATTACATAATTAAAACTCGTTATGTCACTCCATTCTCTTAAAAAGGTTAATTTTTGCGCATGTGCTATTAGACTTTGGAAACAAGAAAATTCACATATTAATTTTCAAAAATTGAGATGTGAAATTTAATTTTGACCACAAAATGGACTGTACACTCAAATTACCCTCCTATACGCTCAAACTATCCTCCTATACTTGACAACAATGCTTGAGCCTTGGTGTTCATACAAATGTACACTTAATTACACAATTTCATTTCACATATGAAAATATCTCATCATAGATAATTATTGTATTACAGACATTGATTTGTGCATATAATATGAACTAGACATATGAGTTCCCAAATAATTTTTGTTTGAACAATTTACACGTTTTTTCATATAAAATTGTTTAAATGAAAGCCGAAAACTGATAATCAATGAAAGACACCGTTGTCCAAAGCCACTAGGCTTAAATTCAATATTATTCATTTCATAATCCAAAGTAAACCCTAATCAAGCCCAAAATAGAAAACATGATAATTTTTTTATATAAAAACTAAAACTAAATCTGCAGCCAAGCCCGTCCCCGCCTTCGGTAAACCAATAGGTGCCTCAGCCTTTTCTCCCCCAACACGAGCTCCTGCTCCCTATCAACTTCATCCTCCTTCGAAACCACCTTATTCTCAAGGTTGAAATATGGAAATTGAGTTACAAAATTCTCCATACTCATCCAAGAAGCATCATCAATGGATTGGTTGAGACCCTCGAATGCACGCTTCTTCTTATTAGCTCTAATTCAATTCCCCCAAGATGCGTAAGACCAAATTCTATTGTTCCTGGTGGTCTGCTCAAGATCGAATGTATATCAAAATATCATCGAAGAAAATGAATATAAACTTTCGCAAGTAAGATCAAAACAAGTCATTCATTGCGGACTGGAATGTTGGTGGGGCATTTGTTAATCTGATGGGAGTAACTAATAACTCATAATGCTTGATGTGCGTTCGGATGGCCATCGTACAGACGTTGGGTCCCACCACCTTGATTTAATGGTAACCGGAGCGCAAATCTATCTTGGAGAACACGACTGCCCCAACTAACTCATCTAGGATCTCCTGTATCACCGGAATCGGGTACTTATTCGCACCATGGACTTAGTACGTTCTTAGTAGTCCACACAGTAATGTCATCTACCTTCTATCGTTTTAACCAAGAGAAAGGGCTCAAGAATGGGCTCAAACTCAATTCAATGAAGCCAGCTCATAACGTTTCACCCACTAATCTTCTTATCTCATCTTTCTACAAGTGGCCATATTTGTAAGGTCGAATTGACACAAGTTTGAACCATGGGGCCAACTCTATCAAGTGGCTTGTCGTGCGACAAGGGGGTCATCTAACGCTCCAATGGTTGCCTCAAAAAGTTTGGCGGGTTCGCAGACTAGGATGACCGCATAAAATGATACTTCAACGGTCTTGAGTTGAGTGCAGAGGCTAACTAAGTTTATGCACATCGCCGGGTCACCCATTAACTCTACTCAACTACCACACAACTCAATATTATAGTCAAAATTTTCAATTTATCCGTACTTCTCCCAATGTGGTCAATCAAGCCACTCTCAAAATGAGTCAACCTTAACCAAGGCAAGCACATAGCTCCCCTCCAATGAGATAGGAATACACTCAGACAATGAGATAGGAAGTTGTCTACACACCCCTTTCGACTCCTGTCTATTCCTGTCACCCAATTACACTCTGAACCTGTTGTCTTATCCAGATTCAACCACAATAGAGAGACCAAGGATGAAGAAATAAAGTTGTGGCTTGTGCCATTATCTATCAGGGTTGTCACTGTGCAACCCTCAACCACCCCTTGGGGTCTCATAGTTCAAGAGCTGATATTTCTAGCCATAGAATAGACTCGAAAGTCTCCCCCGTCTCCTTCTAAACCTTCCTGATCCTCCTGAACTTCCTCACGTCTGGTTATCTCACAATAACAATGTCGTTCGTGGTCCAACTCCTCGTCCTCCTCAGCTAACATCAACCTTAATTACTTAAATGTGTAGTCGAGCCCTGATGTAAATGGTTTATTACACCCAATTCACAATCATTTTTCCCGCAATTCTTCAAACACCTTAGGCGGAAGTGGAGCGAATATGGATTGTCAGTAGACACTCAAGACAACCCTGTATTTGTCCTCGTGGACTATCCAATAGCCCCAAGAAAGTTGCCACTCAATCCCCTCATGCTGCCACCACTTGTGGCCGTGTTTTTATCCCCACTCACCCGAGAAAAATCGGTGGAACACAACCCTACATTATTGTAGGGCTGACTCCATCATCCTCCATTATGAAAGGACATATTGTCATCATTATCCTTGGCCAATTCCATCATAGTATCCAAACCATTCGGGCACAGCTACATTAAAAAATCTAAAATGACCCTTTAGCCCATTCATGAAATATCCCAAATAGTGACCATCAAAGAGCCTTGGAACCTGACTTGCCAATTGGACAAAAATCAAGTAGTACTCCTCCACCGTTTATGACTACATGTCCCCAGACAGTCGTTCAAACTGGCTGCCCCTAAATTGACAGTCAAATTGCGCCACTAGCACCTGCGTGAACTCCTCCTACATCATGAAAGGCTTCTACACCCTTATCCAGGTTAACTAATACAAGGTATCCCCTTCTATCACAACAAGAGTCGTCACTACCTTCCTTCCTGGCGGAGTACAATTCAATTTGAAAAATGCTGCTCAACCCTAGCATTCATGTCAACGGGATCATCCCCATCAAACGAGGGTAGCAGTGCAACAGATGTGCCTCACTACCTAGGCTTGAAAGAGGACACCGCCGCCTCATTCAATGAAGGAGTCGTGATGACGATGCTTCTGTCGCCGACGACATGAGTGACTTCGAGAGTGCAGCCAAGGTGGCTGCGATCTCTGCCAATTGCACACCATGTGCATCAAATTTCTAGTTCATCAAGACCTATCCGACATCCACCTCCGTCAAAGGCTTGGTAGGTGATCTTGTCATTTTGGCTGGTCAGACCAAAAAATGAAAGCAGTGGCGGACAAGAGATTTGTGAGAGTGGGAGCACACTGGACACTAAACTTACTTTATAATAACAACCCCAAATATAATACAAATAGTAAAAAGTAAGTGATTGACATAAATGAAATTTAATTAGTTATTTACATATTAAATAGTTCATTACTCTAACTTTGGTAAATCAAGTATGCGAGTTTTCATACTTTGAAAATGTTGCACAATAGTTATGTTTCATTATCGATGCTTCTAAAAATAACCCTCTCGATGTAGCACACTAAAAAATCTGTAAAAAAATCATCTCTCATTTTATTGCGAAGATCTGTCTTGATAATATTCATCATGGAGAAAGTTGTTTTAATGGTGGTTGTTTCAACTAGTAACATTAAAGCGAACTCAATGAGACGATATACCCAGTGAAAAGAGTTGTGAACTTAAGCTCAACCATCTTTCTACAAACATCACCAATAGTTTGTGCGACAGAAAATAATTCAGTTATTTTCATTTCATATATTCATACCTGGAGTCTCTCTTTCAGATCCTTTCGATCAACAGATGAAAATTCGCATGAATGAAACTTCACGAGGTTCAGTAGCTTTGACTCACAAAAATTGGAAAACTTATATTTAGGATCAAGACATGCAAACAAGTGAGTAATCTATGTTTGACTCACTAAAGTGATTCTACATGTCGAGTCTGATTTGATGAATAACCTACAATGAAAAGTAATACTCCATCTGTCTCATTTTATAGGATACACTTTTGCATTTTGGATTGTCTCAAAAATAAATACTTTCTTAAATTGGATTCAATTAACTTTTTACTCTATCACTTTATCCTTTTATCTATGATTTCACTCTTTATTTTTTGTGTATCTATTTTTCTCTTTCTTACTTTTTGGAGCTTAGAACTGTAAAATAAAAGTTTTATCCTCTATTTTCTTAAAATGCACACCAAACACATGTGCATCCTAACACTATAGGACGAAGGTAGTAGAGTAGTAGTAATTTTTTATCCGGGTTGGGGCATTGGTGTTTACCATAAGTACTAATAGTAAAATGCCGGACCGGAAGTGGGGGGTACATTCCCCTCAAGCCACCTAGGCCCTCCACTAAATGAAAGTTGAAAACTGATAGTCAACGGAAGATAACGTTGTCCAAAGCCGTCAGACTA